TCTGGGCATGTTGCATATGCAAGTGCACAAGTACCAGTGACCTGCTGCATGGCAGTGACTGTACCATACTCAATCTCCTTCCTATGGCAACTCCAGCATGACCTGCCCTTCCCTGTATTGCAGACTTTGAAGCTGAAGATTATGAACATGCAGCAGCTACTGTCAGCTACTCCTAAACAAAACTCAAGCTTCCTCTCACATATTTTTTTTCTATCAGCAGCCTTCCTGTGGATCATTTCCCTCCATCTTTCTGCTAGCTTGTTCTTCATAAGGAGTACCATCACCATCATCTCTGTTTCCTGCACGATGCCCCAAAGGGAGCCCCTTCCATCWCAAACTCACAGACTGCTATACTCAGAGAAACACTTGTCATCTAAAATAATTTCTGGGGCAATTGAAACCTCTCCTGTACCACGGAGCAAAGGTCCTAATGCACTTAGGGACCTGAACAGCTTGATGCCATGCTAAATACCAGATGACCGTACCAAATGCAAAAGCATTAAGTTGTGTTGCAGTTTCCCACTACTGCCACCTGTTTAGGATAATGCTCCTTAAATTTGTTTACATTTACAGGAAAAGGATGAAAATCGTAGCGCTGGTTTTAGCAATCCTTCTCTAGTTTACACAGCAAAAAAAAAAAAATTGAGGGAGCTATCTAGTGAGTCATTGTTTTCCTTCCCTCACACTTTAGCAAGCCTCAGAGCAGGATGTTTGAAAGCCACCTCTACTATGTGAGGAAACAGCMTATCAGGCATATTGATCCTCAAATTCACCTTCTTGAATGTCTAAAATGACTGAGTTCCCTTTCATGCCTGCAAAGCACTTTTGCTCCTTCCCCAGGGAAAAGCAAGAGGAACACCTGCCTCTGTACTGGCTGGCTGTGCAGCTCARAGCCACTCACTTTGTCTCGAGGTGACAGCTTAAGGACACCAGCTGTTYATGTGATGGTGAGCAGGACTCAGTATTTTGCAAATATTTTCTTTCTCCTCTGCATAATATTTCCTCCCTCTCCTTCCTCAGCCACTCCCCTCAGAGGCTGCTTGTTTTTCTGGAATATATTAAGTTCATTTCTCTTTATTTCGTTGATTCCTTTGATTCTCCCTTCCAGGGCAGAGCCTACAGAACTTATGGGTTGATTTTTGTCTGAGGCAAGTAGAATTTCCTTTGATCATCCTTGTTTTGCTAATYTGGGATGCTTTGAGGGGAATTAATCTCTGTTTTTAGTACAAAGAGGAGCCTCTCCCCTCCCTTCTTTCGGCAGGTTGCTTGATCTGAATAGAGCAGATGGCAAACWATGCCTTTACATGTTACTTTCTTGGAAAAATAGGAGATATTGAATCCCTAGGGAGGGATTTTTAAGAGGAATAAATTAAATTATCTTAACACTGAGTTACGAGACTGCAGACACACAGTAATGAGAAATTCAGAATAATTCTTTTCCAAGCCTACCTTCAAACATAAGCACAAATTTGAGAGACCGTGGTGAAACTACAGATAAATTTACAATTATGCTCATGGAAAAACAGCTTTCCAAATCAAGGCATAAGATGTTTTTCTTAAAAGTTACAGATCTTTTTGCAGAAGTCTAACCCAGCTGACTCCCACTGATCAACATTAATGCAATTAAAATGGAAATACTCTTTCTACACAAGATCTGTTTGCATATGGTTCGTTAGCAATGCTATAATTCTCAGCACTTCACCCCCTAGAGATGTTACTGGTGAAAAGATATGTAATGTCCCTAAGCAYTGGGAAAATCCACATTCAAATTCTTTGGTGTAAGTGCATGCTGTGCACACTRACTGATCACAACTCATTATCCAACATTACTAACTTACATTCCTTTTCTTGCCAARAAGACGTGACAACATTAGGCCAGTTTTGACTGTAAATCCTGAAGGATTATTGTAGTTATTTAGCATAACTCTGTTAACAAGGATCATTAGTCCTCATTGCCAAGTTCAATGCTTCTCAGGCTAGCAGAAAACATTCCCTTCTTCTCCTTGTGTACAGGTAGAATGGGGAACCTGCAATCATACAGGTATCACATCATATAGCTGGCAGAAATTAAGTACTGTTCTCTTCTTGGTACTGGTGAGAAATATTGTGTCTGGGTTTAGGTCTAGAGGCTCAAGAGATTTGAGCAAATGGAGACTGGATAGCAGAGACTACAAAGATGGTTGGGATGGAGAAAATGGGATTTAATGAGAAGAGGCTAAAAGAGGCCTTGTTAAGTCTGGTGAAAAGGAGACTAAGGCAAGACAAATGTTGCTATCTCTCTATCCAGTTCTATCAGAAGTTTTAAAAAGGGCAATGGCCTCAAATTTAAATCAAAGCCATTCACATTGAATGCCAGAGAAATCTTTTTAGCTGGAACTGTACGGGAGTACTAGAAAAGGTTACCCACAGATGTGAAAAACCTTTGTCCTTGAAARTTTTCAATAAAAACCACAGTTCAGAGGTCAAGTGTTGGTCCCCGTTGAGAGCAGGAGGTTGGATGCAACCAGTATTCCTATGCTGTGGCTAGGAATACATTGAGTTTACATTGATCCATTTACACATTCTGCTCACACTGGCCCCCCAGACATTGTTGCCCCTTATGGATCTGCTGCTTTAAAAATTCAGGGATGTTGCTGGTGGTCTGCTGCATGTCATTACTGTGAGGAGTAAACGTGACAAACCCCACATGCCATGACCTGTATCTCATGTATTCTGCCTCTCAGCAAAGACATTTCTTAACATAAGAAATCTGCAATTGGAGAGTGCTCTTTCCCAAATTTGGAAAATAATAATGGATTAAAGCAGCAGAATTACCTTAAATTTCTAATCTGGTTCGTGTTTACTGATAATGTTAGACTCCTTATTTATCTGTCCCTCTTGCTATGACAGCAGCATCACAGTACAGTGCTATAGTGAGAGACAAATCATATCAGCATCACAACAGAAGAAAGAGTCTCAGAGGGGAGCTAAGTTTGTCTCTGTGGCTGGCACAGGCTGGGCAGTGACAGTTCTGCAGGGTGTGCTGAGAACCCTGACAGCACAGCTCTTCCCACAGCCAGCCTGGTATGGCACCACAGTGACACCACAATTGTACCTGAAGGGCACAGCCACCTGCTGCCTTTGCCCAGGCTGTGATTGAGGGAGCTGAGGAACAAAACAGATAAAGAAAAGAGCAGCTGCCTGTAGTTGCATCAGTGTTGCTTCACTACCTATAAGCTACAAGGAAAAGCCTTGCTGAGCAAACATGGTCAGATCTGTGGAGCCCTCTTGTTTAAAACGGGGAATCATAAATTCATTTAAGTGTTTCAGTGCAGTTTCTGGCCTCTCACTAGAAACATGAGTGTCACTGTCACATATTTATCTACCATACCATGTGCRATAGCAACATATGCTCATAAACATTCCTTTTTACACTTCTCAGCTGCTGCACAATTGCTTATCTTGTGTTCATTGTATAGCAGCAGAGCTGTTTATTAGTGAAGCTAACCATGACCAAAGAATACATATCCTGCACTTTCTTTCAGCTGATTGGTGTGTGCAGTTAGGTACAAAACACAAAGTCAGCTGCAGCTGATTTAAGTCCAAGCTACTAGTTCTTGAAACATTAGTCTGAGTTACTCACATGAACTGGAAATGTTCGAGAGCCTCATCTCTATACACTGTGGGGYAAACACATAACCAGCTAAAAGATACAAACATCCTTGAAGTCAAACTGCCCATATTGGCAACAGCATTGATGGAGTATATGGAAAAGAAAGATGAGGCAATGAACTTGACTAACAGACGTTTTAATCTGCTTTAATATACCAGTGTCTTTGGCACCTGGGAAGTTAATTATCTTTATTATTTTCTTGAGCATTATCTTCAGTCATTGTAATGTAATGAACTCCTGAAGTGGAATTTAATTTTATYCTATTTAGGCTTCTTTTTTTGAGAAGTGTGTTGTATAACACGTAGGGCAACTTGGCAAGATTCAATGATGAGTTCTAGAAATAGGAAGTTTTGRTATTTAATTTTAGTACAGGGTATACAACACCTCTTTAAATACATGTATTACTTTTCCTTCAGCTAATTAGAATAAAAATTTCTGCCCMGACCTACAGTTAGCAGCACTGCAGTGGCTTTACTTCACTGCAGTAAAGAGTGGGAGTATTTTTTTTTTAAACTTATGAAAGAGATTCATTACTGTGAGGYTAAACAGGTGGTAGAGCAACTCAGACTTCTTCTGGGACTGATTGCCACTTTGATGCTTGGCACATCAGAGTTTCCAAACAGCTCTGTTACAACATCATATGATTAGAACCTCAGTTTCTTTAGGGATCATATGCTTTATATTGTAAGATAGCACAGTTTCATAGAAAAGCAAATACCTGGAAAAAAAAACCCAGCCCACAGCAGAATAGCTCAGCTTCCTATAAATCCTGGTCAYCTAAGGGAGTGGTGCAGCTCTCTGATTCAAAGCTTGGCTACCAACAGTCSTTACAGAGTTCAACTGAAGGCTTTTTATTTAAGCCACACAGAGACTCTTAGTATTTCCAAACTGCCCAGTGGATTTTCCAGTGTAACAAATCTTCAGAGAAATTCTGATGCAACTGAACAGGACGTTGGCACTTCCTAGAGACAAATCCACCCTTCACACTAACAAACATCAGCAAGCACTATTYGCTTACTAGCTTTTCCTTCACACACACTCACTACTAATATTTGTCCAGCTGAAATCTGGAACTTCTGTGGGAGGGGACTTCATCTTTCAATGTGTACATACTATACCACACCGCACAAGGCAATTTCTTCCTTAAAATAAAATGTGCTGTCTAAGAACAGTACTAGAATACAAATGTACATCTAAGCTCAATTCCATTTTATAATGTCCAGAAAATGCTCCCCCTTAGAGCAATACAATCAATTCTCTTGGTTTGTCAGAAGGACTGATGAAATGGGTATCAAATACCATCCTGCTGACTTGCCTTGGAATATGCACTGCAAAAATAGGTACTCACATTCCATAAAATAGGGGCCAGGTTCAATTCGCCAAACAATTTGTCCTTTTTGAGTGCCAGTCACTCCCCGATTCTTGGAATCCCAGAAATTGGCTGGAGAGTTCTCATCTGAAAGAGGAAAGAAAAARGAAAACTTATTTCAGCAAGTAGTATTTAAAATAGAAGTTTTCTTGGCTTTCTGTTTTGAGAGGCCCAGATACAAAAAATTACTTGTATTAAATTAAAAAAAATAAAGAAATCAAATTAACTGGCAAAAGATAAATAGCTTCTCTCTCAYGCTTGACAGATCAATTTATGCAGAGTGAGCAGACAGACACATAGCCAAAGTAAATATATGGTTTCCTGTAAAAGATGACCTGCCAAGGAACAGTATTAAATTCCAAAACTTCCCATATCCAACAGAGAGGCTATTGGGAAAGTACAGCTGACTGAAACTTTATCACAGTTACCACACCACTTTACACACTGGTTGTGCTCTGTTTTGTAAAAGTCTAGCATTCATTCCCTAGCTAGGAAGCACAGAATTGTAACTAGGGATATCCAGTCAGAGGCCCAAAGTGCCAAAATTGTCAATAAGCCAGAGCTAGAAATGAGAGGTTCAGCAACATACATTCAAAGAAAACATTCAAAGCAAATAKTATCTGCAGAGCTGCTTAGCAATATCAGTATTAATGCTTCTAAAATTAAGAATTTTGTCCTAACAAACACAGGTCTTAGGGCCTTTTTTTTATTTTCAGACACCCAGAACACGGTGTGAATGAAAGAAAACCAGAAACACAAGAAGCTGTTTGAAAGGGCACAAAGGTTAGGTATGATGACACAGATAAGGCTGACATAAATCCAACTTTTGCACAGGAAGTTCTTTGGAAATATTCACTGTAACATTTTACCAGAACATTTCAGTGGCCRTTTCTTAACTAGAGCAGACAAGAAGTACACCGATGACGTCAAACACAACATCCTCATTCTTTCCAGTGGTACTGCATATTCTTTAGTCTTACTTTAAAAAAACCAATCCTGTTTTATTACATACATTTCAGTGTGTTCTGTAATTTTTAAAAGACTTCATTAAGAACCTGCTCTACTGTAGCTTTGTTCCTGCAGCTCATAGCAATTCAACTTGAACTTTGGTAGGAACTCCCACATAGCATTACAGAACTGTCACCTACATTTTAGATATCCATACACTATTTATGAAAGAATAATAAACAAAGCATCTTTCTWAGTTTAATCTTAAAAAATATAAAAYCACACCAAAGCTGCTCTTTCTCCTTGTCATTCTGACTGCTCATCTCAGTGTACACACAGTAACTCCACTGAATCATGATTAGTGCATCTCATCCCACCAAACTGGAACACACAGAACATTACCAGACACAAACTGGACTTAGACACTGCCCAAAACCTAGAAGAACTCTGCAGAATCAAGAAGTGGCTATAGCAAGCTACTGACACTTTTATGCCTCCAGCCATGGGTGACTTTGAGAACTTTTGGAAAGCTGTGGTCTCAACACTTTAATATCATGACAAGTCCAGGACAGTTTCATAATTATCTCAATGACAAGGAGAAGGGACAGGAGGGTTCTCCTAAAACCTGTGATCCTCAAACTTCTAGTGCTCTCAGGCTTAACTTCTCGTGCAGAACCAACATGATAGGACACAAAATACACCAGGAAGTCAGGCACTGCATACATTCATTCTTCATTACAGTAAAAACTTACGGAGTAAACAAAGCTGTATATCACCCCTTTTTTGTTGGGGTTTTCTTCAAAGTCATATAAAGAGGAACATTGAATGTACGACCTGTAAACCATCCCATAGGCCTTAAAAACAATCATCTATATGGTTTGCCATGACACACTAATGAAAAGAATACATTGCTGATTAATTAATTTATAATTTATTATTTTCTTCCAGACAGAATGCTGGGAAGCCGTAAGGTACAGCTTAGCTTCCAGCAGCCCTACACTAGTGACTGTTTTGGTCCACCATACAAATTAGGTGATCCCAAACATCATTACCAAAAGTGAGCAGATTCTTCAAAAACTCCAGTTATCTGAAACACAGAATTTTAAACTATTCAGCATTCTCATTTCATCTAGGTAAATGAAGATGYATTTCTGACAGTAAATATCTCACCTAACAGGCTCTAGTTCTGAATTTCTGTATTTAATCAATTGCAGAAGRGTCTGTTCACAATTCTAAGCAGAAGGATGGATATTTGGTATATTATAACCATAAGCATGATTTTTTTTTTTTATTCTTATCTTGTTCAACAAACAAACCAAGACTGAAGCAATGAAATRTGCCATTAATGGTGAGATTTCCAACAACATGGTACAAGCAATTGTTCTTTGTTATTTTAAATCAGTCACAAAGCAAAGTCAATAGCAATTTTCACAGGGCTATTATAGTGAGCTTCAGAAAAGGTCCTCCATGAACTGAGTCTTGGATTCTGAGCTGGTAGTTACAAGAATACGGAACACTTTYTTTCACTTTAATTAATAAAATCCCACATTTAGGGAAGTGCCTTGATTTTCAGTCCTTTCATGAAGAAACAGACTCCTGAAGACTAWATCATTGATACTCTGCCCCCAGGCACGCTGCTACTGCAACAGAAGGTGGTGGAGACCGAGGGATGGAAAATGCTAACAGACCACTGCCTGTCAGCAATCGACTCAAATTACAGAATTTATTTTGGTCAGCTTTGACTTTCTTCTGAAACAGATGGATTTTTTTCTAMTTCTACGATGTTATTCACACGGGAAAAAATAACATTACTAATGCATATGGAAAAATAACATCAAACATCAGTTTATGGATTTTAAAAAGAGAAACTGAAAGGGAAAAAATGCATAGTATGAAAATAYTGAAGCACACAGTACTGGCAAAAAATATTGACAAAAAAAGAAGTGTTTAAGAGCACAAAAGGCAACAGAATTATCACTGTCTCATTTTTTCTCTTCCCCAAATCATACGTAGTATGTATGCGTGTATACATTCACACACACACACACACAATCTCTCTCCACGTATATATAATCCACAGGGAACTTCAATTCTAAGCAGTTCTATTCTCTTTTTAGCATRTAATTGTTGCCCTTTGTGAAACTGGCGGCTGTTCCAGAATCTGGGCCAGAGAGTAGATATAAATATCCCTTCCCAGAACATAAAATATGCAACAAAATACTGTCTTGCTGCATCAGTATCTTGTCCAGAGTGTCTACACTTCTGAAAGAAATAAAACAATCCAAGATGCACCGTTTCTTTCTATCTTCAGTAATTCTTAGACATAAAATACTACAGAACATAACTTCTCAGAGCTGCAACCCCTGTACAAATCAGCATATGTGAGATAATGCTCTGCAACAAAAAGTGGGTAATAATAAATGTATTACTGYGTAGAACTTCACTCTGAGTAATGCTCCTTGAAATCACTGTAAAGCAAACATGCTCTGAGTAACAAWGTTCTCTTTATTTAACTACTAAACAATCAGCCAAACCTGGCATTAAGGAAAGTTGCATTGGCACACTGTTGGCTCTTCCTCAACTTGTCCTCCTGGACTTCCAGGTCTTTTTTGCAAAGCTGCTTTGCAGATGGTCAGCCCCCATCCCAATGTCAGGGGTTATTCCTRTTTGTCCATCTCTCCAGGCTGTCTGGCTGCACAATCATCTGTTTTATCATCTGCTACTGCTACTTTTGCATGAGGATGTKCAAAGCGTTGGAAACCATGCTAAGCCAGTATCTGACATCAGGGGTCAGGAGGCTTTTGAGGAGTTCATATTTCATCCTTTGTGTCTTATATCTTTCACTATTTCTGCATTAGGAAAACAGGATCAACTACCTGAAATCCATCAACTCACAAAGTCATCTTCCAYGGTTAGAAGCAACARACAAACAAGCAAACAAACAAATAAATAAAATACAGTTTTTGTTAAGACAGACAAAGAAGAATTGTTGCCAAATAATTATCTGAAAGAAGCCTTCCAGTCCTAGCGCACAGACCAGTCACATGCAAACCAGCACTCATCTTCTGGTCCCTATGGTTAAGTAGTGCTAGGTTTTGTGATAAAAGCATTGCTTCCATGAATACAAATCATTTTTATTCTTCAAAATAACAAAACATTATAGAAGTCACAAATTCCTGGTGTGGAAACATCACTGATTAAAGTTTTTTTCCTGTGCAAGGTGGAAAAGCAAAGGTCGCTATAGCAATCTAAGAGATTGAAACTTTTGCATACTGATCTCTTTATTGTAACACATTTATAAATATGCTCATACCAGAGCAAAGGTGATGTTAATAGATTCTGGTTGTCAGCTTTAATTATACACAACTTACCAATTTTCATCTTTCACTACCATATATGGGTACGCTAACTCACAGCTCTTGAAAAATCCACGCAGCTTAGCTCAGAAAAGATCAATTCCRTTGGTAACACCATTGTATCCCCGCATAATTCTCTTATCCTCAATTATTTTACATCCCAATCTCTGATTTTTTTTCCCTTTCTGGAAAACGCTTTACACAAAATCTTTTGAAGTGTTTGTCTTGTTCATTTTTAATTTAAAATTTTTAATTAAGTTCATATTGTCAGAATGCTGACTTCATTCACATTTTAGGTTAATGTCAATAAATTCTTGGGCACTGAAGATGGTGCATGCAATGCATCCAGTTTTTTAGAGGGGTGCTGGTACTAAGCTTTTAAAACATCACTCTCATATAATTTCTCTCGCCAGGTGTTCTCTCCCAGTGTGGATCAGCGGAGCTGGAAGGCTGGTGAAGAGCAAAGCTACATCTGCATCTCACAGGATCAGTTCCTCTCACAAACATGCTACCAAGAAGGGTCACCCCCCTACCTAATTTACTCCATCATTTCACTTATTCTTCAAAAGTAACAGGTTTATGGTTAATCACCACCGAAGAATATTTCTGAACTTAATTTTGAGCCAACCATCACGAGATCTCTRGCATGGCATTTCCAGTGTAAAACAAAAAATTAATTTACATGCATTTTACTGCATTGCTTCCAAAAACCGCAATCCCAATGCCAGCAAACACACTCTGCTTTTCAGTGTGAGCACAGACTTCCAAGCAATAAAACAGACT